ACAAAGTTTAATAACAAAGTTTAATAACACTTGTATGCCGCCCAATCCCGTAGGACTCCGGGCGGCTAACAATACAAATAAATCAAAATGAATAGAAGGAACGAAAAGATAGACTTAAAAACACACCATGCACTCCATTCCAAGTGGGGCTGGACCATATTTTGGGGTCAACAGCCCCAGGCGTGCCAGAACAGCTAGGTTTTAGTGGCCTTACGGAAGGCCGAGAGAGTGGGGATCTCTGCGGGGAGATCATTCCACAGCGCCGGAGCAGCTACAGAAAAAGACCTCCCCCGAGTAGTCGCCAACCGGCATTGCCCAGTCGACGGTACCCGAAGGAGGCCCAATCTGTGGGATCTTATAGGTCGTTGGGAGGTATACTTGCACTTAGTGATAGAAAATTAGAATATCGTCGTCTTATTGATAACCCTTGTTGCAGAGGTACTTAGATAACAGTACTCAATTTCATTTTTTAACACCCCACTCTCGTATGGCTGCTTCAAAGGTAACAGCCTTCTATTTTTCTATTTGTGTGCATTATCAACTTTTTTCCTCCTTTTTCTTTTCTCTCTCTCTCTCAACCTTCTAATTGGTTCTTCTATAGAGTGAAAGTAGCAGCAGTAGCAATATCTCCACCATGCTGGTGACACACGATTATACGGCAGTGAAGGAGGATGAGATTAATGTCTACCAAGGAGAAGTCGTGCAAATTTTAGCCAGCAACCAACAGAACATGTTTTTGGTGTTCCGAGCCGCCACTGACCAGTGTCCTGCAGCCGAGGGCTGGATCCCCGGTTATGTCCTAGGACACACCAGTGCAGTTACTATTGATAACTCTGATGGAACAATGAAGTAGGTGTAATGCATGCTTCTTTGATGACTTCCTTAAGTTTGCAATAGCAACAGAGTCCTGTGATACCTTAGTGATATAATAGGCCAGATCCAGTTCTCCAATTTATAAAATGGGCTCCTGTTTATTTTTGCAATACAAACTACAAAATAAGTATTTTACTAAAATAGTTATTTTACTTAGAAAGGTTGATTTAATGAAGGATAATACTTAATGTTATTTCTCTGATGTCATGGTGAAACATACATTGTTCTTAAGATATTTCTTATCCTAACCACTGTGGATCAGCAAGGGGTCAAAAGTTACAAGACCTTGGAAAACTCCAATTGAAAGCTCCAGTGTCTGCTGAGATTAATTATTTTATTTATTTCTTTGTTTGTTTCTATCTGCCCTTTATTATTTTTTACAAATAACTGAAGGCTTTGAATGTATCTAACACACCTTCTTCTACCTGTTTTCTCACAATAAGAACCCTGTGCATGAGTTGGGCTGAGAGAGAGTGACTGACCCAAGATCACCCACGGGCTTTCGTGGCTAAGTTGGGACTTGAACTTACAATATCCTGTTCTAGAAAGCAGGTGCCTTAATCACTAGACAAAACTAGCTCTCTCAGCATGATTTATAATCTTTAACATTACCAACAAGTAACATCTCTTTTACCTCCAAATTGCTAGATATAGTTAACATATCTCATTTTTATAAAATAAAATTTTAAAAAATCTCAAAAAACCCAAAGCGTAGTTGTAGTTTACTAACTTGTACTAATGCCCTTATTTTACAATGATGTTAGAAATCATATTTTTCACAGTGACAGAACAATCTCATAATCTCATTAAATTGTTCTGTTCTCACTGTCACTTGAAGTGGGCTCCTCTTTTCAGTTCACCGACAAAAGGGCGACTGACAAAAGCACACCCGACTAAACCACGGTGACAAAACCGCGCGTTCTAAACCGCGCCGACGAATGAGCACTGAAGCGCGCCGACAACAGCGCGCTCTAAACCTAATCCTAAACCTAAGCCTTACTTTAACTTAAATCGTGCTGTTGTCGGCGCGCTTTTGTCGGCGCGCTTCAGTGCTCATTCGTCG